AAAAAAAGGAATATATATTTATATTCAAATATAAAGTAAGGAGTATAAAGTTCAAAACATTTCATCCATTTTATTTATATTTAAGTGATAATAGGCCTACAACTTCATCATCAAACAAGTTACTTTATAACTTAGGGTGCTTTCCCAGAGATTTAGATCGACCTTACTCCCTGGGGTTCACACTAAATTGCAGTCAGCCGAGCAGGCACCATAGTTAATTACCCCCTTACAGCTTTTAGTGGGCGGGACAGACGCTTAAGCCGGCCAAACTGACAGTAATCTAGTGAGACTCCCCACAGGGATAGATCGATCTAAAAATCTATGGAAATGGGGTGTTAGGCCTGTTCCTTTTTCATTGAGTACAAGTATAATTGAATATCTAATCAAAGTATAACCACCTATTCTCCAGGTAAAGGTAGAGTAAACAGATGAACAGGTAAACACATTTAATGAATATTTTTAGTGTAGTGGGTAGGTCGATTTTGCATTTTGCATTTTTGTGCAGCAGAGATTCATTTAAGCAGTCAGTAGACCTACTGGTATATTAAATAACCGCTCACTGTGATCATGAATTGCACTCAGCAAAGTCTGAAAAGTTCCTACGAGGTCAAAAAATTGATCACATAGGCCAATCTTCTCCAGTGACCGATTACAAAAATGTCAGGAAAGCGTAAAAAAGGTTTTACTAAAGCCAAATGAGTCCAAATGAAAGTTTTCCACATCTAAAAGTAACTTAATTTTAAGTTACTTTTTAAAAAAGAATTAAACCATATATCTTCATAGGCTAGTGACCTCAGGTGTGGTTTTTGTCAAATTGTGAGCAATATGGCATTTTATTAGCAAAATAATGACGTTGCATATGTATAAGTCCTTGGCGCTTGTTCTGAAATCGCGGTTTTGTTGTTCATTCCCACTGGACTCTACAAAGAAAAAAGTGCCTAACTTGGCCAACTAGCCTGGTCTTTCCTAAGGCGAAACCTCTTTTTCAAATGCCGAATGAATTGAAATTTTAGTCTTTTTTAGGACAGAAAATGAATAATTATAACTGTCACTCGTGGGCGACGTTCAGCCCCTCAAGTCGGCACGTTTTGTAACTCACCGAACGTGCCTCGGGGCTCGGCCCAAACATCTCATTAATATAAGGCCCGTAGCCAGCAATTTCAGAGGGGGGGGGGGGCGTTTTCTGAAAAAGTGGTCCTTTTACCATAAAATCCTTAAGTACATAGATCAAATTTTACCCAGAGTGGACCTTTTCCCACCAAAAAGGGTGGTTCTTTTGAACCCCCCGAACCTCCCCTGGCTACAAGCCTGAATATTATCAATTATGGATTTTAAAAGAGAAAAGCATTACATGTAAACGTGTCTTTTTACGTGCTAGAAGTTATAAGTGAAATCATTACTAATCATTTGGTGCAAGAAGGCCTACCTTCGCTATGCATTTGCCCATCGTATAGGCCGAATTAAAATATTTTAAATGCATGATGAACTTAGGCATTTAGTATTTTCTTAGATATACATTTTATTTTGAAATAAAAGATAGTGAAGTTGGGATCAAGAAGGCCTGCAAAAGGAAAGCGGAGATCGAGAGATCTCCGTTCTGTTTGTAAGGTTTATTATATTGCTTTTCTTTTGTTGTGCTTGAGGAGCTGGGTGATCCAGCACATCTGATGCAACGTACATTTGCATGAGTGATATCTTTAAGGTTTAGGGATACTCTAAATATTAGTTTGGACATTTCATTTCCATGATTTCATTCAACTCAGTGTCTCCGTAAAAGGAACACATAGTATATTCTTTCTTTCTGACCAGTTATTTTCTGTTTTGTTACGTAAAATTTATAGCTTAAGGAATGGCAGAAATGTTGTTACATGTCTTGTGAATTCCTATGTGAAATAAAACCAAGATCCAGTGAACAGCATATGCCTTTCCTTGACTTTGTTTATCAGTATAACGTTCGCGTGCTATAGTGTTGATCAAAACTAAAAAGGCCACAGAACAATATTTTTAAATATTTTTAAAAAACATATCATGGCTTAAAGAAAACTAATACTTACAAAGATTCAAATGTAAAAAAAAAAGTTTGCTACAGGGCTATATCAAAATTAATATGAGTTACATATGAATTACCAACAGAAATCCAATAAATCGATATAACTTATGTATAAAGGGCGGGTAGGCTGTTCTAAACACATCATTTGAAGGTAATTTTTTTCACACAGAACCCGACCAATTGCCACGATAAAGTTTTAAATGATATAACTGATAAATACCAAAGGACGTCGTTTCACATTTCCCGAATAATGACATTTGAACGGATACTTTCTGCTTATTCCATGCGTAGGAATCAAGGGGAATGAGAGTTATGATTATGCAATACCCGGTACGCAAGCAGTACTAAGCAAGTTAGCCGATTTTTACAAACTGATAACTATGTCAATTTCCGACCAGAATTAAAGAAGGTGCAGCTTTTTTATTTCATTTTTTATATTTATTTTTTTAAACTGTTTTGGTCTGAACGAGGGATTTATGGCTTGACATGTCGACTTTATTCTCGTTGTACAAGAAACTAATAAAAGTGGTTTATATGCTTTACTAGGAATTCACGCTCGCTTTCCATGAAACTTAAGTGTACCGCATAAGTTTACATTTTATAGTTGGAAGAAAGGAAGTTGGGAGGAGAGGAAGAAAGTATTTGCTCGGTTTAATAATTGGTTGGTGCTGGTGGCGAGAGCTGGAGTCACCCTGAGTTGCTCGAGCAGGAACACCTTGACGACTGAGCGGCACGATAAATTGAGAAATTAATAAGATAGATACTTGCGCGAGGTTGTCAATTATTGAAGGTGGGGTATTTAAAGACTCCACGTTTTATGGGATTCGATAGGTTAGGATTTATTTCCTTACCCGCTTTAGATAATGCAAAAATAAATATGGTCATATTATGAGATAATGTTCATTAGTGCTGGCAATGTTTTAGCAGCATTTTTGGGGTGAAAACTGTAAAAACGATTTCAAACAGATCTCCCTCATCTGAACTACTATCTAAAAACTACGTTTATGAAAACAACAGAAAAATCAGCATCAGGGGTTTCTTAATAGTTAAAAAAAACTGAAATTGAAATTTTTTCATTCAGACTCTGAAGAATGCTTTTTTGTCCTTCAGCGCCATTTTTTGCCACACGATTCTAATACAATATCATTAAAGTGTTTTTTAAGCGTCTCTAGAAAGAAACTTCAGGTCGCAAAAGCACCATTTTGCAATAAGAACGTTGTAGTTCACTGAGAATTTAAATCGTTAAATATTAATCTTTATAATGCAATATAAACCTAAATGAACCGTCGCACAGAGAGAGTCAAGATATCGTCCTTGTTTATCTATAGACATTTTGTAGAGCAGGGGACATTCAATAATTGTACTTTTAAAAGCAAAAGCAAAGAAACATTTTATGAAATGAGTCTTAAGTTTTGCACTTAAATAGATACTTAGTAAGATAATTTACCGCGTCTTCTTGACCACATGGAGGTAGTTAAAATTAGTTTTCATAATTCACAACGGAATAGCGAAAACAGCTGAGGCTAATAGTTACCTCCGCCAAGGAGGTTATGTTTTCGCCCCTGTTTGTCTGTCTGTTTGTTTGTCATCGACATAACTCAAAAAGTTATGGACCGATTTTGATGAAATTTTCAGGAACTGTCAGAAGTGGGCCAAGGAACAGATGATTTGTTTTTGGTGGTGATCCGGATCAATAATCAATCAATAATCAAAAATAATCAAAAATCGCTGCCTTGGCGGAGGTCTGCGCTCTCGGAGTGCTTTTCTAGTTTTATCTACAATATTATGATAATTCTTGTATGAAAGTCGAATTACAGGGTGCCTTTCAATAATTTCCTCTTGCAAAGAGTAAATTATCTTCTCGTTTAACGAGGGTAGAAATATTGCCTTTATTTTGTTGGTATTGTTTTTAGGATGGGCAATATCATTGGTTGGATTGAATTCAGACTCTAATTTTTTTTCTTGCTTTTTGGGGGCATATTAGAAGCTGAATTAAGCAAAATTCGAAATTTTTGAAAATTGTTGTATAGGTTGCACAATAGTCGTTAATTGTCGAGACACGAGCGTGCGGCGTGAGTACACCTTGTATGCTCCTGGCGTAACGCACGTGCTTCCGCGGTGCTTTCGACTTTCAGGCCTACCCAACTACCAGACTCGCCACCGAATGATCCTGAATTCACCGGTAAATCGGACCACACTACCCGTTTTCAAGGTGTGTATCAGTACGCATTTCACAGTATCAGACGCGACACCGCTCTTGCCTAGTACGCGATGTGATAGGGACGATTCTCAGCGGGGTTGAAAAGCATTGAATCACCACTCAAAATTTGTTCAGGGTATGATACTGTGTAATGCGTAACATGTCCAACATCCTCCGTACGTGCATACGGGTCACCCTGAGCTTCAGAGATAACTTGACACTAACCTCTTCACTATATAGCCTATCTTCATCGTGTCAAGTTACTTGACACGATGAAGATAGGCTATAGTTAAGAGGTTAGTGTCAAGTTATCTCTGAAGCTCAGGGTGATACGGGTTGTCTGCGAACTCCAAAATTCGCAAGGACTTGCGTTGCACGTGAGATTCTGCGCAAAATTTGGACGAAAACAGGCCGTAAGAGCCCGTGCGGCCGGTTGTGACCGAGGCTTAAGAGTTTTACAAGTAAACCCTTCTTCTTTTGTTTCATTTTATGCTGTGTATGATTTATTTGGGCATTTGCATGAATGATTCTGCCTGATAAATTTCAATGGGCTGGATTAAACGTAATTAAAACTCGAAAAAGACCACAGGTAATTACAAAAGCATTTCATTTAAACAGCTTTGACACAGATGAACAAGAAAATGTAAAAAAAAAAAAAAACTGTAAAAAACTGTTTGAAATGTGAAAGTCACAATACCGAAAAATCCCCATTGGGGCCACACATAACACCACAAGACACCAGAAGGCAAATTAAACCAGACGCTAAATACTGCGCAGTTGTTTGAATCCTGTGCTGTGTTTCCGGTTTCGTTTTACGTGGAAAGATAAAAAAAGAAGGCATATCACAACGGGCTGTTAAAAGACTCATCAAATAGTCAAGGGGACAAACGAGCGTAAGTACAACTGGAATATCATGATAACAATAACATGCATTATGGTGGGCGTAGCAAGAGTCCGAAGGTTCGTTACAAGCGGTAAACTGAAAATCTGCTAACGACCTTGGGTTTTTCCCATTACAGATGCTACCTCTTTCTATTAAATCTTGCGTTCCACGTAAACAAGCTAAGTAGATGTTTGAATCATTACATATGAATCTAAGTAGTGAAATAATTATGAACTTACTTCAAAATATATACATACATGTACATATGTACAGTGGAATTCGGAAAAGCTACTTTTGTTTCCGCCTAAGTGCCTGTTCGTTGCCGACCGACTGTCATAATTTGTATATAATTTAATATGCATTCAGATATCATTGTCCCAAGTTTACCGTAGTCTACATCGACTAAAATGGGGGCATTGAATTATAGGAACGAAAAACCTTTAGGGGGCATAACAATTAAAAATAGTCTGAAGGTTTGTTACTAGGGGTAAAGAAAAAAATCTGCTAACACTGTAAGAAGTGGCCTTAAATGTTTCCCATTACTTTTACATATGCTACCTCTACATGTATCTATTAAAATACTGGTTCCACCTAAACAAGCTGAATTACACAGGACACCCTCGCCTCTTTCACCAATGCCCTATCAGAGAGCAACATTAACCTGGCCGATAATGGCATCTTTTCTTGGGTTACAAGTGTAAGAGACACCTTGGAACTGATTGAAATGGGAGCAGTTTTAATTGGCCAAACCAGTAGGGCCAACTCCCTCCACATTCAAACAAGTTCAATTGCTCTTGAAAACGTACGAGAAAGAGTGGGGAGAGGGTATTAAGCAGTAAACACATACAACTTTAAAGGAGAAGTTCCCACTAGAAAACTATATTTTGCCCCACCCTAAACAATTAAGAGCTAATCTCTCTAAATTAAGAATAAGAGCTCGCTGTCTGCAAATAGAAAGGGGTAGGTATGATAGGCCCTTTTAACCCCTCTGAGCATCGAACATGCCCCATATGTAACATGTTGATGTAGAGGATGAATGTCGCGTCCTCCCAAGATATCTAGCATATGAATGACAAAGCCCCTTTATTACTAGCATCCAAGGCTTCCTTAATATAATTTTTTATTTTATTGCAGTGAGTACATCATAATGCACATTACTACCAGTTTGTACTGTAACAGATTTAAAGATTTAAACATTTTGCTTTTCAACAGGAGTCTAAAATGGAATCTGGTAAACCCACTGCCCTCATCCTGTCAGTGCTTCTTCTAACTGCAACCTTCCCAACAGGTAAGGTTAAGGATATAAAAAGTCACCTTTTATGTGTTTTGACAATAAAAGATTTATTCAGTATTGCATTTATGATCATTTATGTGATACCCAGAAGAAAAACCCATGGTTTTTGGATTGCTGAACAAAATGACGTTAGATATATAAATAACTTTATTAGTTAGATCATTTTGGATCCCAATATAGGTTATATAAGTCTAATTTAGGAAAATGAGCAGGATGGACAAAACTGCCAACCACTGACATTGACCAGTGCGTGCATAAAAAACAATAGGTTTGTTTTGATGCCAAAATTTGTGATTTTGCTTTTTTGTTTAGAAGAAATGGGAAAACCTGGTTTCTTGGGGTTTCTAGGATTTGTTTTGTAATAATAGTAGGGGTGGGGGATCCGCATGGTCCTTGCTTCTAAGTATCAGATGTGATGCCGCTCTTGCCTACGTAGTACACGATGTGATAGTGATGATTCTCAGCAGGGTTGGAAATTGGTGCATCACATCTCAAAATTTGTTCCGGGTATGATACTGTGAATTCCGTACTGACACACACCTTGAAAACGGTTAGTGTGGTCCAATCTGCTGGTGAATTTGGGATCAATCGGTGCCAAGTCTGGTAGTTGGATAGGCCTGAAACTAATCTTAGGCAGCCGTCTTTACAAATATCCATTGAAAATTGGTGCAATTCGAAGTCATTAGTGATAAATGTTAACTGGTCACATTGTCCTTAACAACTCGTGCACATCACTTATTTGCCATTGATATTTTTCTGATGCCAGTCCAAGTAGAAGAGAGCACAAGGAAACTGAAAAATAGAACTATCACCCCAAAAATGTTGATATATGATGTCATCTGCAAAATGACATATTTCTGAAGACAAATAATACCCATGAACATTAAATAATAATATAATATAATATAATATAATATAATATAATATAATATAATATAATAACCACCAGTTTTGTACAGTCATTTATAGCCTGATTTTGGTTCTAGCAGTTAAAAAAAATAGTTGGAAGGCCCTCAAACCAATTATGTAACAGTTAAAAGTGCATCTGGACGGGAGTAGGCTTTCAAGAGCAACTAAATGAAGTGATCTCATGTTCAATTTTTACAGGTTCTGCTATGGGTTGGGGTGTAGTCATAGGGGGTGTTGCAGCAGCAGTGGCCGCACCCTTTGCCTTGCCAGCTATAGGGTTTGGAGCAGCTGGAATAACAGCTGGGTCTTATGCAGCATCACTGATGAGTGCATCTGCCATTGCCAATGGTGGAGGAGTGGCTGCTGGAAGCATGGTTGCTATTGCACAGTCCTTAGGTGCTGCAGGCATTGGAGCTTCAGGGGTGATTTCAGCAGGAGCAGTTGGAGCAGCTGCAGGTGCAGCGGTGGATCATGCAATGGAATAGAAAATGATTGATGTTAAATGTTTGATTTGAGTTCGAATATAGACATAGAAAAATGATTAATGTTAAATGTTTGATTTGAGTTCAAATATAGACATAGAAAAATGATGTTAAATGTTTGATTTGAGTTCGAATATAGACATAGAAAAATGATTAATGTTAAATGTTTGATTTGAGTTCGAATATAGAAATAGAAAAATGATTAATGTTAAATGTTTGATTTGAGTTCGAACATAGACATAGAAAAATGATTAATGTTAAATGTTTGATTTGAGTTCGAATAGACATAGAAAAATGATTGATGTTAAATGTTTGATTTGAGTTCAAATAGACATACAAGGTATACTTGTCAGCTTTAAAGATGAGTCTGGTATTTAGATAACTCAGTGACCCATTTAGCTTAGGCAAAAAGAAGAACAATGCTCTTAAAACACAAAATATTTGTTAAGCAAGATCATTGTAAACCCTACTTTTCTGATTGTTCTACTTTCTACATTATTGTCTCAAAACTTTCTTTGCATGTTATTTGTTTGTTTGGCTTAGAACTAACTCCATTGTCTTATTAAAAATGTTTCTAGGTTTTGAATTGTTATCTGGTTTGCATGTTGAAATACATATACAGTAATGAGAGAAAGTGTCCGCATTACATCGAGAAACATTCCTAAAACTGAAGAAAATGTAAATCACTATGGTCACATAAATAAACATACTGAATACAGGCCAATATGATATTTTGTTGGTTGTTTTTGCCATTTCTCGTTTGAATAATTATGTACTTTCATGAACAGTTACATTTACGCATTTACCAAGGGCTAAATCAAAAACATTATTTGTTTGAGTGAGCTTACTGCACCCCGGTTTAAGTGAAAGTAAAAGTCAAAATTATAAAATGTGCCATTCTTTATTCTACGATGTAAAATATGGAACAATACAATATACCACTGTACCTTTGTCTTCACAAAACCAACAATGCAAACTGTCCAACTCCTTCATTTGCAATACAAATGCCAGGACAGTCCAGCAATATACCTCTTAATCATGATACATTTTGATTGTCAAGAATAAGACACGAAATACTAGTGTATATTTTATGAATGTTAATATTTCTGTGTATGGGCAGCTACAACTTCAAAATAGTAATGTTTAAACCACACTCCAAGGCAAAAATGCAAAGGGCACTTCTGTGTCTGGTGACAAATGATCATACTGCCAAAATGGGAAAAGAAGTTCAATTTGACCGTGGCTATGAAATACTAAATAGCCTAAAAACAACATGCTTGATAATTTACAAAAAAGCTTTGATAATTGAAAGCAAACAAAAACAAATTCATGAAGAGGCACTTGGTCCAAGACATGTTTTAGTATAAGTTGTAACTTGTTAAAGGCAAGTTTATATTTATAATACCTATATCACATATAACATTGATAAAAACTGTGCATACATATAGTTAAAATTCAAGTATAATTACACTGCAGTATTTGTTAGGACTAAAGGGAAATGCAATGTACAACAACAGTTTGTTTTGTGAAATTAATATATAATCACACATGTAATTTAAGTTGTATTTGACTGGAAAGGACTAGCCAGTGTAAAGTGAAGCAAATTACATGAGAAATCTAATCTCAGTGCTGGAGGATAGTATGATAATGAATTATGATTACATAATGACATAATTATAAAAATAATTGGATGATCCTTGTGTTTTATGTTAACCATTACAACCTTGAAAAGCAATAAGCTGGTCTGCATCTCTCAACACCACCTCTTCATATTTGGATAAAGGTAGTTTGTTTTTTACATAACAACTAATGTGAAAGACACTCATGCTGTTCTTAACAATCAAGCAAGAATATTGTTAATATTAACTGGTGAACATTGGAATAATTGCATCAGCCCTACCAAAATCATCTGTGGCACTACATCACATACTACCTGCTTGCAAGTTTGCTAAAAACTAGGAAATTTGGGTTTGGTTTAGCCTAGTTTACTGTACTAACTGTCCTTCAATTAAGTCATACCTCATACAAGAACAGACTGATATGATACTTCAAGTTGAATAAAATGTAAAATTCAAATTGTGCTATGGATTTTGATTATTGCAATATTTCTATCAAAAAGAGTGACAAGAACATGCGATTTTTGATTTACATTCTGAATAAAAAAAATAATAAATAAATAAAAAAATCTAAAACTGTTTATTAACCAACTTGCGCACACCCCCCTTTCTCAGGCCCATTTCATGTGATGTCTTACTATGTATTCAGATGATATTACTCCGTTACATTCAAAAGGAACACATTATCACTCTATACCTCATGTCTCCAAGATATGCATAGCTAAAGCATCAGTTAATATAACACCCAAAATGAGACCATTATTGAGACAAAATAGTTCAGACAATTGAAAAGTTTTACAGAACTGTAACATGAATGTCAATATGATTATATAGAAAATATACAGAGGAAAATTTCCCATAAAGACCTGAATTAAAATGGAAAGAAACCAATCCCTCCCCTTCACTGCCAGATATTATCGGGACGGGCGATAAAGAAGTTTTGAGACACTTTAGTTATCGTGTCCTCTCCCACTTTGATCTCTGTGCTTCAATGTCGTTTCTCAGGTTCTGTGCAAAGCAAATTCCAAGAATCTGGAAAAACAAATGCATTAGGTTGAAAAAAAGTAATATGCTTAATATGCTTTCTTGATATGATCAAATGTGTATGTTATATATTGCCATCTTTCTCAGAGAGTATTTATCAATATGTACCTTTGTCTCAGGACGGGATAACAACAAATTATTGAGCTAAAAAAGACCCTACTTTAACAACTCTGACCATGATTTTGTTGATGTCAGAGATTTCTTTCATTTTCAGGATCAACTTTTCAGTTATCTTGAAAATATTCCAAATATAAACTCTCATTGTCAGATTGAAATGCTTCATCTTTTCTTAATATAACAATTTTATTTGTTTTGTTTCTGCATGAGCACATGCTGATAACATGAAGTGATAATTTGAACAGTGAGTCATGGCACTCTAATATACATTTTAAATTACAAAAAAGAAAAAAAAAAAAATTAAATGTTATACATATGTGCATGTGTAAAAAAAAAAAAAAATCATGCATAGTATAGGGTCTATAAATTGTACCTGCAGTAGTGCTACCCCCACAGCCACACCTGCTACTGGAATGAGGTTGGTCATAAGCCAGGTTTCTCCTGCTGCCACACAGCCTGTTGTGTAGATCTTCTCACCCATGGTGGCCTAGAAATAACAGAAGCCTTCAATCTACTTCAATGGCACCAGATGAAGGGGAAAATCTAGGTACCATAATAACTGGAAAATTGCTACAAAGCGCGATGTAAATGGTGAAACTTTGAATCACAATTAAATGCACTCAGTTTATCACAATGCACTCAAGTTACGTTGATTAATAGTTACAAAATTATTAAAAGAAGTTACTGAAAACATTTTGTATTCCAGATTCATATAGTTTTTTGACTTATATGTGGAGGTTATATGAGGAGTTGACATTAAAATCATTATTACTTCCACCAAGGAGGTTTATGTTTTCACCCCTGTTTGTTTATCTGTTTGTCCATCTGTCATCAACATAACTCAAAATGTTATGGCCCGATTTTGATGAAATTTTCAGGAACTGTCAGAAGTGGGCAAAGGAACAGATGATTTGTCTTTGGTGGTGATCCGAATCAATAATCAATCAATAATCAAAAATATCCAAAATTTAGGGGTGAAATGGCATTGCATGGAAACTTTGCTGCCTTGGCGGAGGTCTGCGCTCTCCAAGTGCTTTTCTAGTTCAATATAATTTTATTTTACAATAGAAACTGTTCCAACTTTGAAGTAAAAGAGTAAAACAAATTTAGGTAACTGTTACATAATATGTTAGGTAACAAGACTTACTAGTTAGATTAATGAAATAAAAATAGTTTACAATCGTCATGATCAACAGGAAATGTTTTGTTACCTCGTTTTTCCTGACACCAAAGCCACACTGCTTATTCACTATCACCTCCTATACATAAAGAATATAAAATAAATAGTCAACTCATAACAAGTTCAGATTAAATTCTACAGAACACTCTACAGAACACTAGCTGCTTACTTCCAACACAATCATTTAACAAGAGAGCAACCTTTTTTATTTTGTATTTCACTAAAATATTAAATGTTTGGGGCCTCCTGTAAAAATTATAGGTACAATTTGAGTCATTTAAATATTCTCCAACCTGAACTGATCTTCTTATTTTATTGGAGAACAAAGCTGGGCACAGTCACAAAACCATTTTTATTATGAAATTACATAATATTTCAACTGAAACATAACTACAATTCAAAGGCATAAGGCAAATTTGAGATAAAAAATGCTAAAGACTTCTTTGACCTTACTTAATACATCTCTTTTTTTCACTCCTATGACTATAAGAAATACACACCCCTGCAGCCCCCTTGCAGCAAGAGAATGGCACCCCACATTCCTCTGCACTTGGTGATGAACAGTTAAAGTATGGATTTAAATTCCAATCATTTGGTCCTGATGCGCCACAACACAGCAACTATTAATGTATATAATATAAAATATAAAGAGAAGTGTAAAAAACATTCACTCATTCACACGTTCTTATGTAATTAATGATCAGTAATAGAACTTAAATATGGAAACATCATATTTATCAGTTATCTTCTATAATTGGCAATGTATGAAAGTAAATAAATGATAAATGCATTATTCTTATTATTACATCAAAATAACAACTGTCAATATCAAATACTGGACAGCACCATTTTACACCATACATCTGGTGATATATTTTACACAGACAGCTTTAAAAGTATTATAGCCATAACCCATGAGTCACAGGTAGGTGGAATGACCAGAACATAATATCTGCTGAATGGCTGATAACATTCAAAATTTAAAGTGAACAAAACTAAATTCATTTGTTGTAAGATTAAGGTATGGAATTAATCATTTTACTCATGCATTTTGTGTGTGATAACTTACCCATGATTCTTGTACCCAGTCAATGAGGTTCTGAAGATCAGGGTCCTCTCTGTAGTTAATAATGAATTTCTTAACCTGTTCTGTGATTTGTTCTTTCAGCTGTATAACAAAACATGATATTATATAGCAAACAGCTGTTTAATATGTCATAAATCAATATTTGAAGGGAAATAACATGTTAGAAAATGTGTAAAACTCACATTTTTTGTCAACACATCCTGTAAATCTACAAAATCTTTCCCAATTCAAACTTTAAAATCATGGACCTGATAAGATATTTCCTTATAGCATGCAGATGAAGACGTGATCGTCTGACCAGCCAGTCATTTAAAACTAAATTATCAGCTATAATGAAACCAAACACTTAACTAGTTATGGTACCAAAGTTATGGCCATAAACAGAACTATATTTGGCTGTTCTTTCCCTTACAACACAAATGACATCTGTTGGGGATGTTTTGCAGTTATTATGGATTGTATTAGTGAAAATATAAAGCCAGAATTTATATTTTCTTGTGTAGCTGGGATTGTTTTAATGCTGTTGGGGAGGATGTTATTTTATTAAAATTCTTAAACTTCAGTGTGCTTGATGAACATTGACCTTTGTCTTATTTGTTCTTTTATGAAAATGAAAGTCAAAGGTTTACTAGACGACTTCTTGTGTTACTTTTCACTGAGTGTCTTGATCTTAATTCTCTCTTTCACAATAATTCCAACTGCTAAAATCTTCTTACCCAGTCCTTGTAAACAAATCCCAGTACACCGACTACTACCTCTGCCAGGAAGATGATTCCTAACAGAACACAGAACTGAAAAACAATATCATTGGAGCTTTTAAAATCGAATTCTGAACAATCTAAAATACCGAAAAAATATCACCTTCTTTATATTTTATCAATATTATTATGCAATTAAAGTCAAATGAATCTAACAACTGCAAATATCTGGTTAGTTCCCTTAATTCTTCAATGTTCAAATTACATACTCTAAATAAAATTCATAATATAAATTATTTAATATAAAAATAGGATTCTATTTGAATTTCTGTTGCTTACAATGAGTAGAAGAGTTCTGTTCTCCCTCAAGGCACCAACACAGCCTAAAAATCCAATGATGAAAATGACACCACCCACAATCATGAAGATAAGAGCAGGATCAAGGATGAAGTTCCCAGTCAGTTTACTGATGTTGTTGAACATATCCTTTTCTGACCATGCCCATATTCCTATGGCTGCCACTCCAGCTCCAATCAACTGAAATCAAATGCATTTCATATTACGTAAGCAAGCAAGAATATAAATTTTAAACACATTATTTTAATTAATTAATTCATTCATTCATTTATTTATTTTAATTTGAAAGTTCTGAAACACCAATAATTATGATAATCAAAATACAACACTTAAAAATATGCCATTGAAACAGCATTCCAGCATATACATAATACAAAGATATCCAGTAGTCTAGAGTGTAGTAAAAATTGACACAAATGAACGTTAGTACTGATTGCAGTGCCAGTGGAGGAGGGTCGTCTTTCACAGAGCATTAATCAGTTTAAAAAAAGGGTGGGATTTTAAGAAAAGCTTATAAGTATTGATTTTGGCACTCAATTGTGGTGGACAATAAGCATCAGAAAAGTTTGGAAATATAATAATAATGTAATATTTATTCAGCTAATATAAATCATGTATGAAATATATATATTATAAATTTAAATACTGATGGAGCTCCTAAAATATAGTGATGATAAAATTAATTCCTGAAGTTTACGATGGGAAAATAAAATGTAAATAGTGTATTAAAAGGTTATTGGAATTTTAAAAACTGGATACAGACAGAGGGTAAAAACTTTTAAAAACTCTTTTTACTATTTCCTGTAAAAGTTAAAAATCCCTTGTGTCTGTAAAAATCTAAACATGTTATATTTATGTATGCTTTATTGTAACGTATGCATCTACATGGATAGATGAAAATGTACAAAGGAATGCAAATATATATAAATATGAATTATGATCAATAGTGATATCGTATGACTCCTTGTATGAAAAAAATACAAAACATATTTGGCAGAGCCCAAATGGCTCTACCTACTCAACTGGTTATGGGTGCAGCACAGTCCCTTTTTTGGAAGGCTAACCATAAATACTTGGCAAGAGCAATAATATGTTCGTTCTTCTTACCAGTCATTAGTGTTTTAAATTTATCCATTCTGGTAAGATGCTCTCTTGAATAAAGATCATATCGAAGGTCTGTATAAAGGGGGCATGACACTAGGAAATGGATTTCATCTTCTATTTCACCAGAATGGCACTTTTTGCAAATTCTGTCAGCTTAGGGAATTTTTTCATGTCTACCTGTTTCAATACCTAGGTTGTGTGCACTTATGCGGAATCTGGTTAAAGTGGTGCATTTATCTTTAATTGTATCTAAGTATCTTTCCTTCACACATTTGTTCTTGTATTGACAATAAACTTGTTATTTGGACTTGGTGTTGGTTATGTCTCTGTGCCATTCTTGTGTTATTCTGTCCCCGATTCTTTCCCTAAACCGCTGGATAAAGTTTTTATCATATCTTTGGCCTAGCCACACATCACCAAAGCCATTCTCAAAAAGTATTTGTCTCACACCTTCGCACAATGACATGTTTTCCTGGTTTATCTCTGTAAGGTTGGATGTGTTTAAAAGTTTGTAATTTTCTATTTCATCTAGGTAGGCCAGTTTCAACAAACTATTATCTTCCGAGTTTAATATTTTTTGCCAAAATTTTATAAGTTGTGTTTGGATTTTAAAGGATACTGGTAGCCTACCGAGTTCTCCTCTGACAGCTTGGCTTGTACTTTTAGAATGTACACCTAGGAGTTCTTTACAAAAGCGTAAATGGATTTTTTCTACCGGAGATTAGTCGGTGATTCTAGAGGAGCCCCAGACTTCAACAGCATATGTAGCCACCGGTATGATCATAGTGTCAAATAATTTTTCTTTAAGTGAGGACGATATACTACTACAGAGTGGCATATAACTTTTCAGACTAAAGAGCGCTTTCTGTGCCCTTTCGTATAAGTTCAGTTATATATATGCAGGATGATAAAAGTCACTCATTGATTTGGCCCTCCTGTTCTTCATTTTCTCAACATAGATACTCAATAGATGGTAATCCAATACCAATTATCTCACTGCATGTCTTAACAATTATACAATTTGTCTTGTCAAACCACATATTTATAGAAAAAGCTAAAATATTCTCTACTGTAGCTCTATAAAATACTCTTTGTGCTACTAAAACTCTTAAAGCTTTCTCCAGAAATAAACCCTCTGCCTTGCGTCTAGCCTTTATACTGGTAAATTTGCAGTTTAAACATTTTCTCTTTTTTTTTTCTCTTTCATTTTTTTCCCCAAATTCCTTATAGTACTTTAACCAAATGACTGGAAATAACAACATTCAAATTCTGAGTATGAATTTTATGAAACTAAGCTGACCAAAAGAAAGACAAACTGTCTGCAAATTAGAAAGAGGAATTCATTCTTTGTATTTCACATCATTTGCATTCATGACTGAGGAAACAAAAAAATCAAAGTCACTGTGTAAGGTGAAGTCACAAAGACGTTCTCATAAAACAATCAAGTGTATCATTTGTGTTCATTTCATTCCATTTACTGTAGCAATCAATACTGTATATCGTTTTCCCTATCTACTACTCTCTCCCTGTTTGGCTTGAAAATACATCTGTACATCCTAGTTTGTTGTTCAGGCTAGTTATCCTAATCAATCAAGACTGGTCTCCTTTAAAATAACCCTTCTCTTATCTCACACAGTGAGATCTATCTAATACATATATACAGTTGGATTCCTATACCTAACACTATCAGAGATAAGGTGTCCATTAATTGGCATTGATATTGGAACAGGCCACACACAGACACAAGCATGTGTAATCAATAACTGCAGACTATTTAACAGGTAGTCAAGGCTCCTGCAAAACAGGAAGTTGTTTTGACTTGGAAGAAAAGTCCACTTCACTATGAAACTATTCAGACAGCATAATGGCAAACTTCAATTTGAATGTAGCAAAATCACTGGAAGGGATTCTACATTGAACAAACATGCACATAATTAATGTTTTTAATCAATCCTCGCTTTAACAGTGTATCACTTGTTTGACTTTGTCAAAAATTGTGAAAGCTATAGAAAAAGTGCTGGAGACAGTATGTACCTTAAGTTTTGATTCCAAATTTGTTCACGTGTTAACAAACACAACTGATTCAAAATATTCCAATGCTGTTGATTCAATTACAAAGTGGCTTATAGTTACTCCCTCTCCATGTAGGACTATGGTTAGAATGTAAAACACTACAACTGCTGAGAAAACCAAATTATTAAACTTTTCTCCCAAATGACTAGTACTGCTTTCAACTATATACTAATAACAAGGGAGATGAACTCCCAAGTAAAAAGAAATGTCGAGTTGTTAAATTAAAACTTTTTCAGCTTACTGGCCATTCTGACCACCACAATCTATTGGTGGGAATCAGGATTTCAAAATTTCAACAAGACTGGACATTTTCACCTGTCGTACAGACATGGGGAAAACTTTGGAGATACTGAAGGTCCGGGAGACTTGCATTGCAAGAAATCTGCATATCTTCCCAATTCTGTGCAGTTCCAAACTTAGTACTTTATTTTCATTAATCAATATTTGCATATGATTAATTTTATGTGTTGTATTTTCACATACTAGTAAACTTTGCTGGGCCAGAGAACCTACATTATCAAAAATCTTGCTGGTCATCTGGCTTTTAAAGTGGTCGTGACCAGTCAGACCAACAGTTCCCCCATGTCTGATCATATTAATAAATAGTAATAAGTAGACCTTGATTCTGTCACATTTTTTCACTTAGAATCATCAAGTAACAGTTAGATTTCATTAAAAAATTAATGAAATTGAAACTTATAGAAAAAGATCATGTAGGCGGGTGCGCTTCGCTATGCCGAAGGTTCGNAACAAAGTGGCTTATAGTTACTCCCTCTCTATACATGTAGTACTATGGTTAGAATGTAAAACACTACAACTGCTGAGAAAACCAAATTATTAAACTTCTCTCCCAAATGACTAGTACTGCTTTCAACTATATACTAATAACAAGGGAGATGAACTCCCAAGTAAAAAGAAATGTTGAGTTGTTAAATTAAAACTTTTTCAGCTTACTGGCCATTCTGACCACCACAATCTATTGGTAGGAATCAGGATTTCAAAATTTCAACAAGACTGGACATTTTCACCTGTCGTACAGACATGGGGAAAACTTTGGAGATACTGAAGGTCCGGAAGACTTGCATTGCAAGAAGTCTGCATATCTTCCCAATTCTGTGCAGTTCCAAACTTAGTACTTTATTTTCATTAATCAATATTTGCATATGATTAATTTTATGTGTTGTATTTTCACATACTAGTAAACTTTGCTGGTCCAGAGAACCTACATTATCAAAAATCTTGCTGGTCATCTGGCTTTTAAAGTGGTCGTGACCAGTCAGACCAACAGTTCCCCCATGTCTGATCATATTAATAAATAGTAATAAGTAGACCTTGATTCTGTCACATTTTTTCACTTAGAATCATCAAGTAACAGTTAGATTTCATTAAAAAATTAATGAAATTGAAATTTATAGAAAAAGATCATGTAGGCCATTCTGAAATATCTACTGACCAATCCAAACCCAATTTCACTGGCCAAGAGACAGAACCAGTGGGCAACATCACAAACTATTACAATTTTTTTTTTACAAGTGGGATGCAACTTGAGATAGGCAAAGATTTTCTATGTACAGCAAATCCATTCAAGTGATATCAATCACGAAGTCAAGTCATATTGTGCTTCTGAACACATTTTAACAATTTGAACTAATAAATCAAAATATTGATTCCTATACTGTAAAGGGAAAAACTATATTAATAGCTCAAGGTGCGAAATAACAAAGTTTTTGATATATGTCATTATTTGAGGACACCATAATTCATCATTTATATAAGCATTTTGATAGCATTTTGAATATTTTAAAGTTGAAATGAACCAAGCTATTATCTATGCACATTGCTTAAAATTTGATGATTACTTTATCAGTTTAAAGGTGGGGTAAAAATATACAAATGGCTTAACTGATAACAAATGCCTATATATGGCATTTACTTCCCATGGCACCTTTACTGTCTAATAAATTACTATCGAAGCACTGCAAATACCTATTGTGCAAAGGTTCATGTTAGCATGTTAACTAAACACAATTTTTTTTGAAAAATTTTGACTTAGTTGCAATTATGACTTATCATGCAGGGGCGGATTTAGGCCGTCTTCTGGGTCTTCCAGAAGACAGTCAGATTTTCAAGTTTAAATTAACAGGTATCTAATTTTTCTGTTGGAAGACGGTCAAATTTGGAGGATGGATCAACAAAAATAAACAAGAAGACTATCAGAAAATAGCTCTGGATCCAACCCTAGCTGTCATGGCTAGACTTAAGAGCTCTGCTATTAAAAAAGAGGACTAAGTGCACCAGTTGCACTATACTGTACATAGAAAATACACAATGCCATCCTCACTTTATTACTGTAATCATTAGACAGTGCAGTTGCACATTTCTTAAAAAAGAAAAAAAAATTACCAAATTATATTATATGGAAAGGGTAAAAATGGAATATTTGGTGGACATGTAAAGCGGTCTTCAATCTGTAATGATAAAAGGGGGGGGGGGGTTGCACTGTTTTACTGATGTTTAATCTTCTTCATTTTTAGTATATGGTCCTAAAATCCACAATTTAATTGCATTATTATTAATGTCGAGGTTTAAACAGTTTCATCAAATCTAAATTTAATCTCTGCATGCACGTATTAATTTTAATTTTTATTTTCTAAGCTTGATAGACTTTTTTCTTCAAGATTTCATTAATTATTATCTTATAAGCTGGGTGATTGAAATGATAACATTTCATTAAAATTTATGAAACACATATAAGTCCAATATAAACATGGAAGTTTAGTATATATATATTCAAACGTAAAACTGAAAAGTTTGAAATACCTGCATTTCCTGGTTCGGAAACAAGTGACCGATTCAACGACGATCCTTCAAAACATGTCTCTGTTTTTGATTATTTACACAAACGCTACAAATTTTAAATCAATTAGGTGCTAGTATACTCACCCAAAAGAACACATTGAATCCAAATACGAGGTACTTAATACACAGACTAACTTCAGAGGTGTCTTTTGATCGTCGCTTCGCCATTTTGTCGCCTTGTTGGTCTGTCACGAACTTCAACAACACAAGTACCCTGACGTCATATTGCCGTACAGGATCTCTAGAATTATCTAACGACAGCAGGACAAATAAATTAGTGACTATTCCCAATTTTTTAAATCTCATAATGTTTTGTAAACAACAAACTGAGTTTGTGTTTCATAACCTACTATAATCGTTACTTAAACCCACTGATAATTATAAAACATTGTCGTTAAACCATACCAAGATGGCTGCGCCCAGAGGTGATCGTCCTTCTCTTGTTCCTGTCAACCTCATGGAAAAGATTTGTTTCAAATACATACCTATGGCAGGCGGAGCAAGTTATGGTGCTATGTGCATTAATATGATGCAACCAAGTGTTTTTAAAAGGTAATTAGTCCTGTAAATTCTGCAAATTTTGGTTTAACCTTAACCTGGATTCTTGAAGTCTGAAGATCCGATCTCGAGTTAAATTACTGCCTCAGACTCTGTACTACTCTTTGTTATTTTATAAATTCTGAGCGAAAATATTAAAAAGAAAGTGCAAAAAGGAATCCCCGGAGGCTGATTATTATGACAACAGTGCTCCGTCGCCACTAAGATCAGTTGATAAATTACTTGCACTGTAAGTTGTAACAGAAACCAAGAAGTTGGTTCACTGTGGGAACTCGAGTTCCAAGGATCCTTGCAGTGACGTTATGAACAGTATCTACTAGTAAAATAAGAGTGTTTCTTGTAAGATTTATAGTGTATATTTCAAATTTATTGTTATTGTGAACTCTGACAAGGAAGTAATGCTTTGCTGACAAGCAGCATTATGCGAAAAGTCAGGGGTGGATTTTGATGAAATTAAAGGGGAATACAAGTCTCTGAATGGAATTAAAGCGTATTATTCCATCGTTTATAAGCATAAATTACGTTGTGCCTTTATCGTCCAAATGCCCGACTGTCAGCAAATCGGGTAATACTATAGAAAACCTACGTTTGCAAATAAACGCTGAAATAAGCCTTACAGTATTGTATTTCAATTTTTTAATACAGTTAGTTTTCCTGGTTTTAGCTGTGTCCATGATATGCATAGCTACTTTTAAATAATCGTTTAAAAATAGTCCAAGCGCTACTAGGAAGATATGTTTTACATAATCAGAATGCACGAAAGTCCAGGATAATGTGTTCCATTTTTTGTATCTTTAAGTGCTTTATTTGTGAGGTAAACATGTTATACCCGTGCAAAGGCATTATACAACACATTGTAATCAGTGTTTGCCTCTTAGGAAAATAAGTTGCTGGACCGAAAGCTCAGCCATCTTGGAAATTAGCTGGCTAGAATGCCTGCCGGGTGGGAAAACTTCTCTGCCCGTTCTGAAAGTTGTCTGCCCCGGGCAGACGGTCCAGCCTTAATTCTAACACTGATTGTAATGCATAGGCCAATGTCAGAGAGTTCAGGCAATGACATCATAATTACCCCCCAAAATTAAGCTTACGCTTACAGTGGGTAAAACGTGATGGGCAGATCTAGAGAGAAGAGGAGGGTCGTATTTTATTGAATTTAGGTCCCCAGAGACTTGTATTCCCCTTTAAAGCTAGGATAGGTCACAATTAGACAGTGGGAAAAAATGACTAGATTTGAGGGGAGGGGTGATACAGCTTACCATGTACAAGTAGTGATATTTACTTCTTTGGTCTATGGTACACCTCATCGTTGTATTTACAAGCTGGGATCTCGGCTCGAAAGCATCACAAAGTGCAACCACACAAACGTGGCTATCTGTCGCTATTGCCTAACTTGAAGGGATCGCAATTTGCGACTGAGCATAAGTAGCAATATCACTGCTTGTTTGGAGGTTATTATTTGTGACGAGTAAATCCCCTCACATTTGCCTTTGCCCAAACATAATTTGTCATTTTTATGGTGCTTTAAATGTAAATTTAATAGCATATAACAAAGCACGGAAGCTTATAAAAGATAGAGGCACTTGGTACATCTGATACAAAAAAAAAAAAAAAACTTGCGAAAAATTTTCACATGAAAGATGATTTGTATAAAGAATATTATTTCATCAGAGACCAAAAATTTAATAAATTCATGTTTTATTGTGCATAAAAAATTTCAAATAAACATTTTATATACTATTTGATATTTTCTGATAAAAATACATCTGTGTAATATACGTATTCATATTTATCATAAATTTAAACATTTCATTTTCTATACAGAGCACTCAGCCACACCATGACCTTCCTCTGTGTGTGTAATTATGATAATGAAGACTACTCACCTATGTATCAGTAATTGTATCAGTCCCTAACAACATTTGTGCTTATGGAATTGTTTTAGACATTTTATTGCTGTCAAACACTTCAAATATCAGTATTTGTAATTGTGATATTTCTATAAATTAAAAAGGAAACTTATAAACTTTAAATTGACCTTACATCTTACACTAATTGGAGGTGTGTGCCCTCTCTGAATGCTTTTCCAGTTTATTATTATTATTACCTCTGCCAAGGAGGTTATGTTTTCACCCCTGTTTGTTTGTTTGTCTGTCTGTCTGTCTGTCATCAACATAACTCAAAAAGTTATGGACCGATTTGGTGGAGATCTGGATCAGTAATCAATCAATAATCAATAATCAAAAATATCAAAAATTTAGGGGTGAAACAGCATTGGGTGGAGACATTGCTGCCTGGGGAGGTCTGCGCTCTCGGATTGCTTTTCTAGTTATTATTGAGTTTGAATGGTAAGGTCTCTGTTGGCATGTTCACACACAGATACACAAACACACATGCATATCATTATATCAATAATTCATTTTGTAGAACCATTTATTTTACCTTTTAGAATAATGAAGCTTATGTAGGTGCTGCTGAGAACTTTAGTGCCAGTGCTGCATCCTGATCCTGACATTCTTTAACATATTTATCAGAGACATTCCAAACATCTCCAATACAGAGAAATATAGTCCTTTATATCTGAATAACGAATGGAATATAAACTATTGAACTGTGTATTGAAGTCTTTTCTATAACATGGTAGTTGTCTCTGATGGAGCTCGTTCTCAACAATTGGTTTACATAGATTGTTCCAATCTGCAAGGACTCTTGCAGAATGTAATCAGATTACTAGTAATAGATTAACATGTCTTATGCACTAGTTAGATATGCCCATAGCCCATAGTGATACTCATCTGCAGCATGCACTGCTGCACTGGACATGCTATGTTTTTATTGTAGGACTTGGGAACTTCTGGTAAACATATAGAAAAGACCAAAGTCATGATTTTTTTATAAGACAGGGCATACTCTGAAAACATGTATTGAATAATGCATTTTTACAGCTGCTTGGGCTTTATTTTAATTCTCTCAGGAAACACCACAAAAGTAATAAGAAACCATCTACTCTAACACCCCATTTCCATAGATTTTTAGATCGATCTATCCCTGTGGGGAGTCTCACTAGATTACTGTCAGCTTGGCCGGCTTAAGCGTCTGTCCCGCTAGTAAAAGCGGTAAGGGGGTAATTAACTATGGTGCCCGCTCGGCTGACTGCAATTTAGCGTGAACCCCCAGGGAGTTAGGTCGATCTAAATCTTAATCTTTAGATCGATCTAAATCTCTGGGAAAGCACCCTAAGTAATTGCCCAGTTAAGACCACTATAAGAATTTTCACTTCTCTGGTGACCTCAGTTTGATCTGGATTAAAACTAATGCCTAAATCTGTTCAGTTATCCAATCTCTCTTCTTTCAGCATTTATGGTTCCTGGGAGGTCGCAGCAACTCATGGGTGCTGGTTAAAAGCTCACATTGGTGTTGGTCTCTACCTGTACAGCAGGAATGTGATGAAGCAGGCAGACATGTACCACAGGATAGCCTACTCTGTGTTTGGCTCCGTCATCTTCAACTTCGGTTCTGTGCTGCTGTGGGGACATTTCATTAAAATTTGATGAAGCAGGCAGACATGTACCACAGGATAGCCTACTCTGTGTTTGGCTCCGTCATCTTCAACTTCGGTTCTGTGCTGATGTGGGGACATTTCATTAAAATTTATGAAACACATATAAGTCCAATATAAACATGGAAGTTTAGTATATATATATTCAAACGTAAAACTGAAAAGTTTGAAATACCTGCATTTCCTGGTTCGGAAACAAGTGACCGATTCAACGACGATCCTTCAAAACATGTCTCTGTTTTTGATTATTTACACAAACGCTACAAATTTTAAATCAATTAGGTGCTAGTATACTCACCCAAAAGAACACATTGAATCCAAATACGAGGTACNTATAGCAAGCTCATTTTGCCTGACAACACTGCTGTAAGGGTAATATTCGGACTGAGCACAGCAGTTGCTTTGGTGGCTGTTGGAATGGATTACATCAAATTTGTGGATTCCAAAGTTGGAAATAAACTGGAGTGATTTTAGTAGAAAATTAATCTACCCAGAAGAAAAACACCAGGAAATGAAATGATTGTTAATTTTTTTGTACTGACTTTGAGGTGTAAGCATGAAGTTCAGCTTTGTTATGTAGTTTGTTTAGTCATGTGTCTCGTTGTGTGAAAAGCATCAATTCTTTAGCATTGGAAGGATAGGTTTTCTTGCATTTGACTGTTGAGCAACCTGTGTAATGGATTTGAAAAAGAAGGCTCGTTTGATAATGGACATTTGAAAAAGACTATAAGGATAACTTACGTGGAATTTAATATCTGCATGGCTTTTGTGTTAAGTACAAACATCACAATTTTTTATCCTTTTTCTATCCTTCATTGTTGGGAACATGAACATGGAATATCAAGAAATGTATTAATTGAAATTTCCTTTTAGTGAACTAAGCACTAATAAAACTATTATGTTTTTATTGCAGTACCAAATTAATTGTGTTATTTACTTGTTTCATTGAAAAATTTCAACCTTAAATGCGTAACTGCATAAAATGGTAAAAGGATCTCCAATTTCTTGTATTCAAACACTATCCAAGGAGGTATTGCTGTAAAAGTTTTCTCTTTTTTCACAATGACCTTTATGCAAGTATGAAAACACTTAAACTGATAATGATATATATACTTTATTCAATACTCTCCTTTTTCTCTTTTAATTTCACCATGGTTTATTTTTATAACTTAATCTTTAAAATGTATATAAACTGAACAAAAGTAATTCATGAAAAAATGCACAGGCAATGATTATTGAGATGGCTTCAATTAAAAATGTTAATTACCCTTTATATGATATTTCTTCAATAGTAAAAAAGAAGCAATTTTAAGAACATAAAATAACAATTACATAGATTAAAAAAATAATAAACAAATTTTATCAAATTCAAGGCGAATGTTTCAAATATGAAATATGCTGAAATATTTTTGCCCCAATGATGCAAAATCTACAATGGGTGAACTGATTGCGGTAGTGGTGCAGGTGGTCATGCACTACAAACACATTTGGTAACCGGAAGTTGTTATTTTGTTACCTTGGCGTTGATTAGTTGATTATAAATTGTTTTATGAAATATGATTGGTAGATTCGAACCAAGCGGTAAGTCCGAGCACGAAGAAAGGAGAAGAGGTGAGTGTGGCATTTAAACGTTGATTTTTTTGTTGAAATGTTTCATGGTATTGAGGCGATATTTTGTAAATAGTAAATTAAATAAGACTAGGCGTTAACAAATCTATTGATTTCGGAATTTGGTGTTGATTCCCAGATCTTCCCTATCGGCTGAACTTAAAATTTGTTTGAAGATTGATGTGCACTAAAGTTCAAAACTTGATGAAGTAGATCTACGAGTGCATAAAAACAGTAGTAAGTTGAACGTTGAGTTCAAAACAGCCTCAGAAAAGACTAACGGTGGTAGCATTTTTATTTATTCATTTTCAATTTATACTTGATAACTCATTTATGTATATATTTCAACAGCCACGTTCTTGGAATTAACAATGAAGCTTTTTCACGTTTTGGTTATTTTATTAGTAATAAATTCAAATACTTCCACCTTTAACATTCACATTTTGTTTTCATTATATTTATAGTCTATTGCGTTATATTTTCTTATAATATTACTATGTGGTTGTCAATTTTTGCTAGGCGACGTTTATCCTAGTGACGCCCTTCACCATCACATTCGCCTCGTTTTTATTTGTTATTATTTTTCAATTTATTTAATTTTTTTGTAAAGCAAATCTAAATTTCTCATTTCTTTAATTTAATGCAGTATTCTGAACAGATTGAAAATATGATGTTTGCCCTTAGTTTGTTATTGTCACAATTCATTAAAATGGATAATACACTTGCTGTAACTTTGCTTTGACATAAATCCAGGTTTAAATTCAAATGATATCATATCAAATATTGTCATACTAAACATATTCATATTTACAAGAGAAAGCATACTTTTTTACTGTTTTTATAGTTGTCATCACAAGGATGCCATGGAATTTAAAAATTAATTGTTTAAATGTTTACAAAAGATATGGTAAATAGTGAACCTAGAACAGTATTAAATGATGTTCATACTGTAAGCTGTGCATATTAAACCTTATTTCAGTGCTTTAAACTTTTCTTACTTGCAACTATGCCTGTTAATTGATTTTATTTCAGGGTACTGCATAGGCTTTGGGACAGTGCATTTCAATATGAATATGGATGATTATGTCAAAATAGAAAAGATTGGAGAAGGTGAAGTTTTCCAAGAAATATTTGTTTCCATCATTAGTTTACTGAGACTAAAGTTGTGTGTTTAAAATGTAATATGTATTTCAAGGGGACTCAAGAAGTTTTAAATTTATTTAAACATGTTTTGGGGCTCAGAAATGAAGGCCTAACTGGGCTTTGTAAGCAGCTGTGAATGTTAAACTTGATTGGTAAAGTTGGTCATATTGATGCTAAATTTAAAAAAAATACTTATGAACCTTTTTTTTTTCACCTATAGGAACCTATGGGGTTGTGTACAAAGGTAGAAATAAAAAGAACAACAAAACTGTTGCACTGAAAAAGATCCGTCTGGAGAGTGAAGAGGAAGGAGTCCCATCAACAGCAATTCGGGAGATTTCTCTCCTGAAGGAATTACAGCATCCAAATGTTGTGAAGTAAGGAGACAGTAAACATTTTTATATTTGTGCATATGATGTATGTCTGTTAATATAATGGTTGAGTATGGATGTGAAATGATTTTATTTTGTTAGAGGGGCTAAAGGTTTTGAGTATAAGTAACTTGCTTTGCGTTTTTAAAAGGCTGTCTAAAGTTCAATATTTTTAGTTATAATGGAGGTCTGTGGACTCTATTGAAGTTTAATTGGAGCTGTGTACATACTCTCTTATATAAATGTTATCCAAATACTGTATTTTTTATTTAACCGGGGAACAAAGAAAGGGGTCAATGCTTTTTTTTAAGTCTGTTACTTATTACTTGCAGTGTTAACATTCACAGTCCTGTGCACTTTTATTTGACCTCTTTCAGTTTGGAAGACATCTTGATGCAAGAGAACAAATTATACTTAGTATTTGAGTTCCTGTCCATGGACTTGAAAAAATACATGGACTCCATTCCCTCAGGCCAGTACATGGACAAGATGCTTGTCAAGGTATGAACTTAACACACCTGTAACACTTTTGGTAACCATTGATTAGTTTCTTTTTTCCTTTGAATCTTCACTTGTTGTTATAAGACTTTTTTTTTTTTAAAGGAAAATCGTAAAAACAGTACCAAACAGATTCACTTATTTTATCATACTTATATTACATATTTGATAAAAGAGCAGTTTTGATAGTATTTGATTAGATAACATACTTTACCTACACCCCCACTTTTTTTTTTTTTTGTCTCCAATAACATGCCATTTCTTTTCTATAACTCCAGAGCTATTTATATCAGATCACCCAGGGAATTTTGTTTTGCCACCAGAGACGTGTGCTTCACAGAGATCTGAAGCCGCAGAATCTGCTGATTGATAACAAAGGAGTCATCAAACTGGCTGACTTTGGTCTGGCAAGGGCTTTTGGTATCCCAGTCAGAGTATACACTCATGAGGTAGGGTTTAGGCGGTAAAAAATGATATGTAAATTTGTACTTCCATAAAATTTCTTATATAGTTTGAGAGAATTGCAGTCTGTTAAATAATCATGCCAAGCATGCCATTTGATAAGGTAGAGTAGTAAAACAGTAGAACAAAGTGTGAATATTAAAAAAAAGAAAAATTCCATACCAGTGATGCATGTAAATTGTTGAAATACAACAATGACTAGCTGAAAAAGGAAAATATCTACTTTCATTTCATTATTATTTCCAGGTTGTGACCCTGTGGTATCGAGCACCCGAAGTCCTCCTTGGCTCCCAGCGGTATTCCACACCCATAGATGTGTGGAGCATAGGCTGCATCTTTGCCGAGATGGTCACCAAGGTCCCCTTGTTCAGAGGAGACTCTGAAATTGACCAACTTTTCAGAATTTTCAGGTAAAGGACAAACAAAACATAAGTCATTGGTCAATGAAAATAACAATAACGAATCTCAGATTTTTACTATTAACTGAAAGTCATTTTTATAATTTAACCACTATTTATTTATATTAAATTTTTGTTTGTTTGTGTGCATGCACACATGCAGGGTGTCACCAGTTTCTTAAAAAAAAAAAAAAAACAAACTTCCAGCTTACCTTTGAACTAGTTTTTGTTTTTACACTAGTCCAGCATGCATTAATCTAAACTAACACTGTTCACATAACAGGACCATGACCACCCCAACTGAAGAGAACTGGCCTGGCGTGACCAGCTTACCTGACTACAAGCATACCTTCCCCAAGTGGACCAAAAATCAGTTGGAAACTTCAGTCAAACAGTTGTGCAGTCAGGGACTGGATCTTCTTCAGGTAACTGTTTATTGATTTTTCCCCCATATTGAGTTAATACTTAAATTAACTTTTTATTTAGAAAAAAGCTTTAATTAAGAATTATTTCAGTTGCAAACTCCCTATATTTAATTGGCTATACCTAAATTTTTTTTTAACTTATTGGCATTTTCGGTTTTTANCTTATTTTGTGTATGTGGGGGTCTATACGAATGCGCTTGCTCCAGCTGGTGGTACAATATTCGGAGGCGGTATCGCCTCTCTGATCCTCTAGTTTATATTAATTTTTTGTTTGTTTGTGTGCATGCACACATGCAGGGTGTCACCAGTTTCTTAAAAAAAAAAAAAAACAAACTTCCAGCTTACCTTTGAACTAGTTTTTGTTTTTACACTAGTCCAGCATGCATTAATCTAACCTAACACTGTTCACATAACAGGACCATGACCACCCCAACTGAAGAGAACTGGCCTGGCGTGACCAGCTTACCTGACTACAAGCATACCTTCCCCAAGTGGACCAAAAATCAGTTGGAAACTTCAGTCAAACAGTTGTGCAGTCAGGGACTGGATCTTCTTCAGGTGACTGTTTATTAATTTTTTTTCACCATTTTGAGTTAAAACTTTAATTAACTTTTTATTTAGAAAAAAGCTTTAATTAAGAATTATTTCAGTTGCAAACTCCCTATATTTAATTGGCTATACCTTAATTTTTTTTAACTTATTGGCATTTTCGGTTTTTAACGCTTGTTATGAAAGTTTTAGTGCGTGTCATAAATGTCAAACAACAACAGCATTTGTCACCTTTGATTATTGGCTGCATTGTTTGTTTCTGTTTCAGAAAACCCTCATCTACGACCCTGCCCAAAGGATATCTTGTAAAGCCATGCTTCTGCACCCATATTTCTACGATTTGGACAAAAACACTTTGCCCGCCCACTGCTGATAGCAGTTTACTGAAAGACAGTTCACACAAATAGTTAAGGCATACTTTTATGTACAAGTAAATACTGGATTACATGGGGCACACTCTATAAGTAAATTATAAGTTGAATCTGACTGAAATAACTCTGATGAATAAACAACATTAATAGACTCCATCTGAAGAACAGGCGTTAAAGGTTGGTTTATATCAATAGTGTTAACTGTCAATTTCATCAGGAGAATCAGAAGTGGTATGATGATGCAGGTTTAAGTCTGTTGGTTAAGTCTTCGTGTCCCCTTTAAAGTGATGTATATAGAAATGCACTGTTTGCTACTTTCATTGAAGACATATTTGAACTTGATTATTCTGTTGGAGATTAATTTGGTTTCTTTGAAGTCCCTTATTATGTTCACTATATTAACACTGGCTAGAATGCAAGGAATTGAATTTCAAATGAAGTTTACCACCACTGCGTAGTTTTTAGCAGACATTGGTTATTTAAAAATGCCTTGTAGTTTGCTGTAAATGCAAATACTTATTTTCATTGACCAATTATTTTGTCTTTTTTAGATGGTTAATTCATTTGCCAAATGACTTACATTGGTGATGGGTGAATGGAGTCAAATGTGACAGTAAATGTGATGATGTGTTGGTTGTAAAGAACATTCTTTGAAATTAATATAATGAATAGTTGTAGCTTTTACAGGCCTTTGAAAAAATGAGGGACAGATGTGTTTCAGTTCCTGCTTTCAATATGTTATTTATGGTTATTTTGGTATGATTATCCCCTTTGGAGAAGTGTAGTTATTAATGTATACATAATGTAAATTCATTTATATGATTACTGTATATGTCAAATTGTAAAAATGTCTGTCTGGCAGTCTTTCATGCTTAATGCAATTTTTGTACACACTGTATAAATGTGTATGTAAGGTATGTAGACTAATTAGATCACGTGAGGCGAATAAAATGTACAGTCGTCATATAAACTAGTCTTTCATACAACTGCAGGCTGGATTTTTTTTTTAAATCTACTTTAAAATGTAAAATTGACCTCCTATCTTTTCCGAGGGATACAAAATAACATTGAGATAAAATTATTCAGTCTTGTTAACAAAGGCACTTGCCTAACAAAATGGATATTCTGAATGCAATCCTATAATATTTTTTACGGTACCTATATTTCACAACTGCATTTTTCATCATACAAAAGTAAATTTATGAAATTGACCACTAGCATTAAGAGAAAAAAAATCCCCCTACCTCCACCCTCTTGATTTTGGAGTAGGTCAACAAATTTTCAGGCTTATTTGTCTAGCAATGCAAGAGCCTGTAAAAGAAAAAACGTTCTCTAGGAATTGTGAAAAAAATAAGGCTTGGATGCGCATAGGCTGAAAAAGCCTTTATGCAAATTTTAGTTTTTGATGACGCCCTAATTATATACCATAAAGATTCTGCACTGCATATGCTTGTCTGCTTTATGTTTAAGAGTGACAATATCAAACGGGTGTTGTTTCCTATTATTTTGCCTAAGAAGATGCCCAGATAAAGAGTACAAAGCTCCCAGGGTTCATACAGGCTTGAAAAGTGTGCAAATCAGCTTTGTGCCTTGAATACTAAATAAAATACTAAATAAAATTGCAAATGCCTTTGAAAAGGGCTTGTTTTCCATCATTTTTGCGTTTGAAAAGTACTTGAATTTATCAAAATTATTTTAAACTTGTAGTTTTTGACCTGAAGAAACAATCATCTTATTTAAATCTTTCAATGTTTTGTAGTAGTTTCATTAATTTTGTTTCACCATCAATGTATCAACATACAAAGTTTATGCCAAATATGAAGCCCTTTTCACTTTGATTTGTACACTTACAACAGCAAGTTGCCCTCGTTTAGGAAAAAAATGAAAAGTACTTGAATTAGAGTTTCAAAGATCCTTGAATTTGTTCTTGGTGTTGCTATGCAAACCACAATTCCCTTTTTATGTACAGACACAGATGTGTCTGTACATATAGCCATCACCTGCGTCTGTCGTCGTCGTCGCCGTGCACTTTTACCGATAACACGATAAGTGGAAAACTGTTTTTCATTTCAGCTTGAAACTTACAGAATTGATAAATATTTATAATACGCAGGTCAAGTTCGAAAATCAGCATGATCGGGTCACTTGTAGGGAAGTTATGCTGTTTTTATGTACAGACACAGATGTGTCTGTACATATAGCCATCACCTGCGTCTGTCGTCGTCGCCGTGCACTTTGACCACCGATAACACGATAAGTAAAAAACCGTTTTACCTTTTGGCTTGAAACTTACAGAACTGATGAGCTTTCATAATATGCAGGTCAAGTTCGAAAATCAGCATGATATGGCCATCTATATGGAAGTTATGCTGTTTTTTCACTTTTTTCAGCATATATGCAACACCGATAACACGATTAGTGAAAAACCGTTTTACCTTTTGGCTCGAAACTTATGGAACTAATGAATATACATAATACACAGGTCAAGTTCGAAAATCAGCATGATCGGGCCA